TCATTTTGTTTTATGTTAAAAAAGTGTTAAAAATGGAAATAAACCCATTTCAGAACAGTGCTGTCTTGTTAAAATTTGATGTTGAATTTGCAGTTTAACATTATGTTCTTTTGCATCAGAATTGGCAGTAGCCTATTTTGTGCATAGTTATTTCCTGCTTTTTGTCTGTACATTTGACAGCTTTGCTGCCTTGTTTAGTTCATAACACTTTGTTATTTTTGTTTTAGGGACTATGGCTGCTGCAGTGGAACTAGTTCAGAAGGTTGGGGGAATTGCCCAGTGTGGTTTGGTAGTCATTGAGCTAGTGGACCTCAAAGGAAGGGAGAAAATTCAAGGAACTGTGAAATCATTTTTGCAGTACTCTGGAGATTAAGGAGCCATAAAGATGCACAGTTTCTGTAGTAGAAGATTTATCCATGAAAAACATTATGCTTTACTTATTTTTCTTGTATTTTTTACTCCAACAAATCAACCATTGATCCTCTTATCCTGACACTTCCCTTAGCAAAATGGAAAGTTTGCAGCATTATTGCAGTTAGCAGCATATTTGCTGTCAATTTAAAGTAGGCTTGATATTTTGCAAAGAGGATTGCCATATCTCTGTAATATTCTGGAAAAAATTAAAAAGAGAAACATGATAATTGGTGGTAGGTAGTATATTTGATTAAAAACAGGCTCAGACAAGATCCATGTATTATAAGTTATTTTTGGTTCCATTATTACATCATGTACATTGAAAATATGTCATTTGAAGGAAATAAAAAAAAAGCAAAAAGAGGGCGGTGCAGTTATATATACATTTAATACAGGTACATGTGTGATAAGTATTAAAAACGATCCATTTTGTTTAAACGATCACTTATTAAGAGTTAAATAAATTGAATTATTAAACTTCCATTTCAGATTTCTTTTTGGTCACTTGTCAAATGAACTAGCATTTTATCAAGATGTTGGAACTAAATTTTTAAGAAATACCATATTTTTACACCTGACATACTAGCACCCTTCAAGCATATGCAAACATGTATAGCATCTTCAAGTATATATAGCATAGCACAGTACTTGTGTCTTATGAAAATATATGTATGGCATACATGTACATGTACATACAAGTAATTGCCATAATGGGTACCCCTGTACATCTTGGACATGTACATGTACATGCAGGTATATACTCTAAATGTGAGGGTACTTAATTGTAACTGCCAAATAATATATTAAATGAATCTTGGCTCAAATTTATTTTCAAAAGGATACTGAAATAATTGTGAAGTCCAAATCACTAATTTGAGAAACATGACGGCTTCAAAGGTATAATTTAGATAAATTTTGTACGTAGATTGGAACCAACTATATGTACAATCCTGTAATAAAATTTTACAATAAAGGATATTTTGCAATCATAACATTTGAGTAATTCTCATGCCACCCCTCATTTTTTACTTATTGCGGTATTGATTCAATCATGACAATGGGGGGAAAATTGTGAGTTTTACAGATACTTTATTTTTTTAAGTCTTAAATTCTTCGAAGGTAGCAAAACTGTAAACCAGGACGCCTTTAGTTGGGTTAGTTCTATTCTATACAGAAAAAGCACCACAACTACTACACAAAATATATTTTTAATGATTCTAAACATGTCTCTGAAAATTTTTTCCCCATTGAAAATGTTGAGTCATTATCATTCCCATATTAAATGAACACTCTTTTTTTCTAGATCCATTTTATTCTTTTTAATATGTCTTTAAAAAAAAAAGTTGACAAACAAGTTCAAAGCTTTTCATTATGTATTGTTGATTATCTGTCATATGTATTTTCACAGGCAGGTCTTGGTGTTATCCTCTAAATGGCTAGATTTTAACACTAGATATGCACAGATATTTTTCTGGCTTGTACTGCAGGCTTCTGGAGAAAACTTTCTTAACTTTAACGTCTTTCATTATGAATTGTAATATTATATATCCTATCATCTATAATATTAAATTTCACGGCACCCATATGGAAAAAATGGTGCTTTATTTGGGGTCATTTCGATACGCACCGTTACTCCCCCGCACTGATACTCCCCCACACCGTTACTCCCCCGCACCAATAATCCCCCTTAGTAAATTTTTGTGTTTTATGCGCATGGATACGACCCCACACCGATAGATCCGCGCATCGATACATCCCCAGTAAAATTGCCGATGTAGGCGCACCGTTACTCCCCCACACCGATACTCCCCCACATCATCAACGATACTGCGGGGGAGTATCGGTGCGGGGACGTTTAGGGATGTAACCCTTATCCGGAATCTGAAACGTGTAGGACGTTATATCCTTGCCTGATCACTTGGTGCCGATGTTTGAAATTGAAGACAAGTTTCCTGGTACATGTAGGCTTATGTGAAGGGAACTTTTTGGTGCCATTGGCAAAATAATAATAACTATTATTTTATTAGATAATAAAATTATAATATAATAAATATTTATTTAATTTGTTTATTTAATGCTTTCAATAAACTCACTTTCCCCGTGATATGGAATGCACAACAACAGCTCCCACGTCTCATGTTATGGCCTATTGAGAACAAATTTGCAGACAACAAAGGTTCATTACACTGTATTTGGCAAACGTTTTATTTCAAACAAAAGGTTTTATTCCTTCAAGTTTCGAAACAAGCACGAGCTAAGTTTCCTATATCATTCTGTAGGTCATGTGGCCATTTCCACAAGTGGAATACATTGATTAAGCGCACTTGGAGGCGATGCACAAGGTGCCAGAATCTGGCGAATGAAACAGTTTTGATGTATTTTTTTTTCACATAAAACAAATCTGCATTAATTAAACTAGAAAATGTAAAGTTAAGGATGAGTTTCATATCAGTGAACATTTTAAGTTATGTGCCCATTATGCAATTGTTTACCTTTATACTAGTACCATCGTATCATTACATTATGCATTCATTTTCAATATGTAGGTCCACTTAACTTTTTATCGTTCTAGTCAGCGAGCGGAAGAATTGTTTGCCCAAGTGGTACTTTATTAACAACAATGAAGCAACTTAAATAAAAATAATAATAATGATTACTAGATGTAATTTTTTCACACAAAAAAACATGAACGAACGAAATTTTAAACCTTCAGTACCGTCGCTGGCAGCACCATCTAACATTATCTAATCGATCCAGTTTATTTTTCACTAAAGTAGAAAATCTGCGACTTTTCAGAAAGCAAGTATTATGTCTAACGTAGCAAAAAATGTCTAGAACGTTTATTTTAAATAACTTAATAAATAGCTTGCGGTAACGCTGGGTTTGAAAAAATATTTTAAAAAATTAAAAAATTAATAGGTCATCAATTTTATATGTTTGATGTTTCTGTAATATTTTGGCTTTTTTTAATTAAAAAATAAAATTGAAATAGAATCTTCACTTCAGTGTCATCTATGATATGCTAGACGATATGGTGACAGGGCACAGATAAAAGTTGTACATGAAGCACGGCAAAACTGCATTCTCTTAGAAAGTAATTTGCAAAACCCTTGTTACTAGGCATTGTGAAAAAAATCAAATAAAAACTTGCATCTCATAATAGCCCTTTTGCGCAGTTTAATTTTCGTTAATTGTAATAAATATTATCCAAAAGGGTTTTTATAGAGCTTTCGTAACAAACAAA